TTTCTCGCGGTTAGTATCGTGGTTGCTAGGCAACCTGAACAGCGCAACGAAGGCTAGACCGTCCCATTTCACAAGCCTCTCACTTCCGCACTTCTCGTACTTATAGTACGCACCGTACGTAGTACGCATAGTGCGCGTACTTCAAGCGTGCAGACCCTGAATTGGGACACAGCTAGAGACATACTAAGGCTGTAAACACAACAACACGTGAGAGACGAGATTCAGACTAATTATCAGCAGCTGGAAACAATCAGGTGAATGACAGACATGCAGTAAAGTAACACAAGTTATCACAGAAAACTAACCTACAGAGTAAAACAGGAAACAACCTGAGAAGAACACTAACCTGAATACTTGACACTTGATAATAAACCAAATTAAAGATTAAACATTATACAAAGCACATCTCAGAGGTTAAAGGTAACAGAAGCAAACACAAAAAACTAAATCTAATTAACAAACAACTGGACTAACTGGACCAAAGAAAGAAGAATAAAGAAACACGACTGATGACTAAAAGCAAAATAAATAAATAGATGAATAAATAAATACATTAAATAAAAAAGAATCTTAGAAGCTCATAAACCCTGGGTCCAGGATCCAGGACCATGAAAACATGACTCTTTTTAGTTCTTGTTGTTTTTAATATGACATTTTAGGCTCAGTTCTTGTTTCATTTTGGACTTTAGGTTTGAACACTGAGCTGTCCCGCTTCCTTTAAAATATGTTTCTCATGTGACTTTTCCTCTTTTTCATAAAGGAAGGTTGCTTTCATTTGGTGTTAGAGCCAAATTTCCTAAAGTATATTTTGACTGATATTCTGTTTGTAAATTATTGTACAGATGATGAATGAACATGACGAATAAAAACAACAGCAAGATAATGAAAATAGATGTGTGTTTTTATAGGTTTCATTTTATTGTAATTTGTCTTTATTACAAATAATTTATTGTGATGTTTGGCAAAGCATCGTGGTTAACACACCTACAGTTAAAAGCTTTACAGCTCCAAAAGGTTTAACTTTATGTTTTTCTGGATGAAATATTTCAATATTTCACATCTACAATCCAAGCATTTGATATAGTTTGAAATTTAAGCATTGAATGAACAAAAAACACCCTGCTTTTGACTCATTAGAATTTGTTGTTGATTAAAGTATTACAGAGGCACACGTTCATTCAGTGTTTAATGTTAAGTTGACAGCATCGTACTTTAACCCTTTAAGACCTACCATAGAACCAAGTCCGCCAGAGCTTATATTATATTTTTACATG